GAGGGAGGGCCGGGGTGGGGGGTGTCGCTCCTTTCCCAAGTGTTGTGAGGGGCAGGCGAAGGGCAACGAGGGCGACAGGAGATGTGGGGACGTGTTAGAAAAGAAAAAACCCACAAAAATATATATGGGGGAAATGAACTTTTTTTTCATTGAACCAAGTGCAATGCATCAGAGTTTTCCTATCTTTGTATGTTAAGAGATTGTTAAGAAAAAAAATTTATTTTTGTTGTAATGTCCTCGCGGCTCTGGGGACGCTAAAAGAACCGGGCCTGCCCCGCCCTGAGCGGGGATAACAAAAGCTGAGTGTTTTTTTTTTTTCTCTTTCTTTTCTTTCTTTCCTTTTTTTTTTTTTTTGAGGGTTTAATTTTTTTTAAGTCGTTTTTCTGCGTTGACGAGGATGATCTGGGGTTTTTATTTGTTTCGTCGTTCGTTCTCGGTTTCGGTGGAAGGGCTGAAGGAAACGTTCACATTTTAGAGTTTTTTAACACCTCGACATTAAAAAAAAATCGACACAATATCAAAAAGGAAAAGGACGAGAGAAAGTTATTTTTAAGATAATTAAACGTAAAAACCCTGGTGCTTCTTACATTATAAAGTACGTTTAAAAAAACAAACTATTATACATAAGTTTATGAATCAAATATCCTGCACTTGTTAGGAACACGCATATCCCTTCTTTGTTGAGTTTAACAGAACGGGACAGCGGCGTGCGCCGGTGGCAGGGCTGCTCAGGCCGCGGGTCTCCCCGGGCAGCCCCTCCCCGGGGTCCAGCGACCCCTCCTCGCCCCATCCCCGTCCCGGCACGGGGCGTGGCGGGGGACCCCAGCCCCTCCTCCGCAGAGGTCAATGCCAACGAACAAACGTCCCCTCCCTCCCTCTCTCTGTCCCGAGCGCCCTTCTTTGAGCCAGACGCCAACTTGACCCTCACCAGCATTCAGGAGCGCGCTCAGCAAGTTGGTAGTTTCCTCCCCCATCCCATCCCAGGAGCCCCCTGCTCAACATCACCCTCCCCACCCTCACCCCCATCCCATCCTGAATACCCTCTGGGAGCACGGGGAAGGCTCGATGCTCCAGGACAGGACCAGCCACGCTGACAGGTCGATTCGCCCAGGCCCGCGCACGCACGCATGCACGCACGCAAACGGCCCCCCAACACACACAGCCCCACCCCACCCTGCACCCAGCCCCGTCGACTGCCTTACACACCCGCCCCTGCGCTGGCCGGCCGACCTAGTGCCTTGTTCTCACCCCCGTGCTGGCGGAGCGGACGCCGCGCTCTGGGTCCCAGAGGGGCCGGGTGGCTCAGACGACCCACCACTTTCCCACCCCGACCGTGCTGAACGGACCCCCCCACACACACACGAGAGAAAAATAAAGGAGCAATAAAGTCACGAGAACTTTTGTCCCCCAATTGAGAGCCCCAGGGGCAACCCAGCCCCGCCTCTGCTCCCCTACCCATCCTCGGGGCGCCCCCTTCCCCCGCAAGCCAGCCTGGGCCAGCCCCGCTTCGGCCCTTCCCGGGAGATCCGTGCGCCCGACCAGCACCAGCATCGCGGACCGAAAAGGCCGCCCGTCCCGTCAAACAAGTTTCTTCTTAGGCTAAGAAACGCAGTATATACGAGTATCTCTATATATAGTACTAATGGATTTGGTGTGCTTCCCCCTTAGCGTCCCCCGTTCCTCCGCTCCTCCTCCTTCAGCCTGGTCTCTCTCTGCCCTCCACCCCCCCTCCACCCACCCCCCTCCCGTCTCTGCACTGAGATACATAAGAAACAAGGGTAGTTTACTGTCTGTTTTGTTTTCTGGGTTTTCAGTGTCCTAGCGGAATGCAAGTAGGCAGCCAGCCCGTCTGTTCCCTCTTCGCCCGCCCCACCCCGCCTCGCCCCACCCGCCCCCGTCACTGCGCTTCTGTTATACCATCTTTGCCTGACTCTCCGGCTTCTCCATTGAATGGCTAATGTGTATGTGAAATAAAGAAATAAAGAAAAAACAAAAGCAAGACCCCTGAGCTTTCGCTAACGCGACCGAATCTGGGCAGGTGGTGGCGTGGGGCCGCCGCGCGGGTTCTTTCCCGAGCTGCACCACCCTGGCGCCATCAGATGCCGTCGAGGAACGTCTAACCTTGAGCTTCCGGAAGGGGGCGCAGGAGAGAAGGGCGAAGGCTCCTTGTTTCCTCCCCACGTCGGTGACCCCAGCTCTCGAGGTTGTAGTGGGGGAGAGAAAAAAAGAAGCACCACTAGGATCCGCTGACCAGTCTACCATGTTGGTTATTGGACCTTGCATTCTGGAGGGAAACGCAGGCAAGGCCATATCCAGTGAACCGTGGGTGACAGAAGGACCTTCAGGGCCCCTGAGGGTGACAGCCGCCCTTCCGGACCCCAAACCCCTTTTCCCTTATGTGCTGTGTCCTCACTGACCCCTCTTTGAGGGAGTTTGCTCCTGAGGAGGCACAGTATGTCATCTGCCCCTTCCTCGACAGCCCTGGGTTGAGCTCCCAGTGCCCAGGCACAGATGTGGCAGTCGAGACAGTCACCGCACCTCTGGGCTCACTGCTGCTTGTTCCGTCTTGATGGGCCTGGTTGCCCCATCGGGACTGCCATCTGGGCAAGCCTGGGGTGCTGACAGTTGGCCCACCACCGGCTCCGCCCTGCGACAGGGCCCATAGCAGGAGCCCTCATCAGGGCCTCGGTGGGCTGGCCTTTTCCGGGGCCCCGTTGGGGCGGAGCTTGCAGCCAGAGCCGCTGCCTGGTCGCGCAGGAGCCGCACCAGGAAGCCAATGTATTTCATGGCAAGGCGCAGCACCTCATTTTTGCTCAGCTTCCGGTCGGGCGGGTGAGTAGGCAACAGCTTCCTGAGCTCGGCGAATGCGCCGTTCACGTTCTGCTGCCTCCAGCGCTCGCGGCTATTGGTGAATACACGCCTGGCCACTTTCTGGGGCTGTTGCCCTAAGGATAGGGGGGTAGGGGTTGGCACCAAGGCTCTGGGGCTCCCCTGCAGCCTCACCCCAGGCACCCAGCTTCCTCATGGGGACTTCAACACAGGCGGTGGGGGGTGGGGTGGGGGACATCCCCTCATAAAGGATTCATAGGAAGAATGCACAGATAACCCTTCTACCAGGCTCCTGGACAAGGATCACAGACCCAGACTGCAGACAGCTCGGGACTCTGAACCTGGACTATCCACACCTTTATGCCAATCGTGAGATTCTAATCTAGGGCACTGTCTCATGGCCCTCATTCTGAATGTGTCCCTGGGTGTGCTCCTGAGTTTAAGAGGCATTCTTGTTGTGATTGTGGTTTGTCCATGTCTCCAGTAGCTGTATAACTCATGGTATAAATGACTGTGGTTGTGTGTGCTTGTTGCCACGTGGTTGTGGTCTTGTGGCTGTGGTCATGCATGGCCGTGGTTCTCTGGCTGACTTGTGTGGCCAAGGTCCTAAGTGGCTGTGGTTGTGTGGCTGTCTTTTGCCTGGTGTTGTCCCATAGCTATTTTCCATTTGGTTGTGCACTGCAATGGAGCTGTGACTCTGTCGCCCACTGCCATGCTGCATTTGCTATGACTGGTCTGTTGGGTAGCTGTGATTGTGTGAGACTGATTGTGGGCCTGGGACTAAGTACGAAGCCCAGTATGGGCTGTTCTCTGTATATCTCAGTGTGTACTGGCCATCCCTCCCATGTATGGGACACACATGGACCCCAGACATTAAAGCCAATACTCACCCTCAGCCAACTCTAGCTCACAGTGACTTGGTCTCCTCTTCAGCCGGCTGCTGGGAAAGATGCCAAAAGGTCCTGCCGGCCCAATGTAGAGGCTGTAAGGAGTTGTGGGTCACTAATGCCTTGTGGGCAAACACCCTGGCCCTGTAGTCCTCCCCAGGCCCTGCCCCACCCTCCTCACTGACCTGTTGAGAAAGGGGTGAGGGTGGTAATGCAGGGCCAGGGCAGGTGGGGCGGGTCCCAGGGTGGACAGTTGCAGCAGTGGGGAACGCAGGGCACTTAGTTCCGTGGTGGCCATGGCTGACCCCGGGGGCCTGGTGTGGCCAAGGCTGATGACTGGCACGCCAGGAGGCAGTCTGGGAGGTGAGGCATCTCTCTGGGCCATTTCATTCACCTTTTGGAGCCCAGGTGAGGCAGGCTTGGGTGGTAGGGCAGGTGATGGGCTGGAGGCACACACCATCTCGGGCTTCTCAGTCATGGTGGGGCCCACCTCTGTGTGGGCCTGAGGCGGGCACATGGACCCCGAGGGGGTGCTCACCTGTGGGAGGGAAGGAAACCAGTGGGGGTGGGGACCATAAGCTATACCCCCCTTAGCCCACTCTCAAATGAGAGGGGGGGTGGCAGTTCAGTGAGCAAAGACAGGTAGGGAGTGGGCCCAGAAACAGCCAAGACATAGGAGGGAGGCCAACACAAAAGCAGGAGAACATGCCCATTGAGGTGCTAGGTAGCACTGAACCCAATAGGGCCATCTCTGATCCACTTGTGAGGGTTTCAGTGGCCTAGCCCTAGAGCAAATTTCCCTTCTTCCAGAATCTCCTTTCACCTGGAACCTAGAGGTAGGAACAAGGCAGTACCCATGACAGACCCTATGACCTTCAAGATTACCCTGTAACCCCCAGATCTGATCCTGAGGTCCCCTCATCATTGATTCCATGTGACCTTGGAATCCCTCCAAATTGGATTATGAACATTTATCGATACTACCCCCCCCCATGTGGGGGACCATGTGGTCCTCAGCTATGATACTGAAGCTCTTCTCATTGCCTGAAAGTCCTCCACTATCACTCCAGTGACCCTGAAAGTCTGACCCTGAAAGTCCTCCATTATCACTCCAGTGACCCTCCCCCCCACTGAACATGTCTCCCATATTAACCCTGTGACCCCAGGTGCCGATCCCAGGATCCCCACACATTGATACCACTGCCCTCCACCCTCCTTTATCCCCATCAGTACGCACCCCTTTGCATCCTGCTTAGATGCCCCTATTCAAGGACTCCTGGCTCCTCTGCCCTGTCTTCCCTACCTAGATCCCGGGGGAAGCTGGCCTGGCTTCTCACTTAGTAGGTTCCTGCTAATAAATGAATGAATGAATGAACAAATGAGTGAAGGAAGGAATTCCAGCCGGTCCCTTCTTACCCCGGCACTGGTCCAGCTGCCTGGTGAATGCCCTGGCTCTGTCCTTCAGGGTGAGCTCTTTGGACCAGGAAGTGGGTTCCAACTTCAGGGTAGGCACTGAAGGCCCCACTCAGGCCTGGAGTCTGCCTTCCTAGCCGCTGGGGGCCAGCTGCCCGTCAGGCCTCTCCTGGAGCTCCCAAGGGCTGCAGGCAGCAGCTGGGTCCCTCGAGGGAAAGTGAGCAGCTCCGGACAAACCCACCTTCTCCCCACCCTTGGCGGCTGGGTTTCCTCCCTCTCACCCTCAGCACAGCGGCCGGAGGATGCTGGACTGGTGCAGATAACTGCCTGGCCGCCTGGCCGAGCCTGATAAGGAGCCGGGCTGACCCCGGAGGAAACCGGTGGGCGGGGATCTCTGAGCCACGACCTCTCGGCGCCGCCCCCCCCAGCCAGCCTGAGCCGGCTCAGTGGTCACGCCTCAGGGCCTCCCCTTCAGTCCCCATAAGCACTGGAGGGGCCTCCTGCCCTTTGAGGACCCCAGCCCCAGTGGACAGCTGGAAGTGAGCCATGAGGAAACACCAGAGGGGAAACTGAGGCAGGGAGCAGTAGCCTCTACCTCTGAACACTCCTTGCTTTAGTGTCTATGCAGATGGGAGTGAAAGATAGTCCTTTCTGTCTCTGCTGGGACCTCGTGACCTAGGGGCCCCCTCTTCCAACTCTCCACCCGCAGCCTGGTTCCTCTTTTTACAGAGCCCTTCCTCCACCCCCATCCTAGAGAGGACACAGGAGAAAGGCCTGTTCTGATGGGTTTGGCCTGGCTGTTCATTCTGGGCAGGTATCCTGGGATCCCATACTCTAGCCGAACTGCCTTTCCAGGCCTAGGAGGGCAAGAGGAAATGCCACTCCTGAGAAGAAAGTAGGTGTTTTCTATGGTGTCAGAACTAGCAGAACCTTTCAGGGGACATCTCCAGTACCATCCCGTTCTTGGCCTCAGTCACATGATCCCATGTCCTTAACTCCACACGTCTGGCCCTCAAACCACAGCTCTGAACATGGTGAAAGGTAGTTAAGAGGTGTTGGGCAAATATTCCAAGTCAGTAGTGAATCTTAAACCAGATGGGCCCAGGCGGCAACTCTGTACAGTTCATCCTCAAACACAGTCCTACCTGTCAAGCCATGACTTGAGTATCTGGGTGATCAGCAGGATTTCCCATGCAGACCCTCAGCTACCTAGCACCAACACTGCCACCCTCCCAGGAATGGGGTGGAGCCCAGAACTCCATAACCCACTGCCTTAGGGAAGTGAGAGCTCCAGTTTTGAGCACAAGTTAACTTGGATACCCCACAAGGATTATAGTTTTACAGTCCGATGTAGGAAGGTGAAGGCGCTATATCTACCACGTGGCAGGGTGGGAATTCTACCCCCAAATCTCAGTTACTGTCGCTAACCCTGTCCTGGGGGGAGGGGATGCAGCAGCCTGCTGGGTGCCTCAGTGTGCGCCCCCTAGGGCCTCTGGGCAGGAAACACCTGGTCTGGAGCGGATGCACCAGGCGCCTGGTTCCGGCCAGGCTTCCGCCACTGTGGCCCTGGGTGGGTGGGGGAATGAGCCGCACTAGAGAAACCACGCAGGAGGAGGCATGGTGTGAGGCCACGTGGAGGATCTGTCTGGAGTGGGTTGCGGGTGCCAAGGCCGGGGGAACAGCAAAAGCTTCCGCGAGCGCAAGGCTGCCGCCCTGCGGCCGTGTCAGGATCTGCAAGCACCGGCAATGTGGATGCCAGCCTGTGAGTGCGTCAGGACAGACTGCTTCACAAACAGATGGGTCAGCTCCCATCACCCAGATGGATAGAACACCCCATTCAGAAATACTGACACCATCAGCCATGCAGAAACAAATGCGACATGCAGAATTCCCCCAGGTAGTTAAAACAAATAGTGAAGCAGACTTGAAAGCTAGAGAGGTGGACAGACAGACTACAGGCAGCCAGCCCCCCCACTCAAACAAGAGTCAGGGAGAAGGTGGTATCTCTTTATTGACTCAGTTTATGTCTGGCCTAGTGTTGGACACGGGCCTGGGGGATTTTGGTTAGGGGTCTCCAAACAGTCCGTGGTGGTGACTTCAGCAGTAGCCTCAGGTGTTGAAGGGGTGTGGGAATAGCAGCACTGGTCCCCACGTTGACAGATTCCCTGGTGAGAAGATGGTGAATATAATGAACTCTGGCCCAGTTTGGCAGGCACTTCAGGTTCCTTTTGTGGACAAGGAGCACACTCCCAGGCACTTGCCCTGCCCTGTTACCCAGAGGGGAACCCATGTGTCCTGCAGG